TGAGGCAGAAGGGCACGGGGCACTTGTTCTCCTGGCAGTGCTTCGCGTGGTAGCAGCAGAGAGCGATGAGCTGCTTGCAGATGGGGCACCCTCCGTTGGTCTTGCGTTTGCAGCCTTTGGTGTGCTGGACGACCCGTTTCATCTTCTGGCAGGACGGCAGGGAGCAGTTGGCATTCCGACACTGGCAGGCGTGGACCAGGGACTGGATGCAGCGCTGGATGCTCAGGCGGCGCGAATCGCCGGGGCTCTGGGTGGTGGCAGTCTGCTGGTTGTTGCTTTCGTCGTCTAGACCGAGGCCTAATTTTTCCATCTTGTGGTCATGATTTTTAGTGTTATAGCAGGTGATGCACAGGTCATAATCCTGGAAAGACAACGAAGGAAAAGTTAGTGTTCCTGAAACTCCATACAATGAATAAATGATGTCAGTGCCACCTCAACAAATTACTCCCGGTCTGTTCTGAGCAAATTGTTGCTCTAGGGAAAAATTCAATCTTTCACACCATGTTGAGGTACTGAAGAAAGAATAAATCCAAATTATAGCCAGGTAAAGTGTGTGGGTATAAGGGTGTTCGAAAGCTACACAAATACGTAGAGCTCGAAAAACAAGTTTACTCTGAGCTAATAAGTCACACATTATTCAGCTGGGGCAGAAAAATCCCTTTATTTCCCAATAGGAAAGGAGCAGAAAAAGGCAAGGAACAAATAGCTGCCCATCTGCTCCTGCTACAAAAGAAGAGGGCAAGAGTGGCAGAAGAGGCACCAGTTTCCAAAGACTAGATGAGAATGAAAGCTGCATTTTCATGTTTTAGAACGAGTTAAACCCATGTTCAGCATCTAGATCTCACACTGGAGGATATAGTTTAGGGGCTACAGCAGTGGCATGTAATGGTTGGACTCGATCTTAGTGGTTTCCTCCAACCTTGATGATTCTATAAACAGCTGAGCGTGCCGAGAAGACAGAACAGCATTTACATTCTGTGAAAGCAACAGCACATGAGTTTGGGCTCAATAATTGATCTTTAAGAAATAGATCTAAGTTCCATGGACGCATTAATCCATAGGAAATTTAACATTTATTTTCTGGTGTATATGAAGAAATGGAAGCATCGAATTTTATCCAGACCTTTTCAGAACCAAATCTGAGACAACCATTCCCTTCCAGCAGGCTAAAGAACCTGTTACGAGCCAGATTCAATTATAGTCCAGCCTCTGCTGGGCACAGCATTGATCCAGACCACTGGACTCAATCTTTAAACACACTGGTTTTACAAACACTTCTGAACACAAAAATACTGTTTGCAGCATTCTACAGAGACACAACAGAGTAGTGGAAGAGTCTCCCAAGTACTGGGATCTGACCTGCAGCACAGCAAAACCTCAGTGCCTGTAAACTAATGGAGAGCCCTATTTACAGAGATTCTGCAGCACAACACTTGACTCTAGAAAAAGAAAGTATGCATTGCTCTTACGAAAAATGAGCTGAGACTCCCATTACAGCTCAAGCAATTGCTACAGTTCCCAACTGCATAAGCAGCAGCTCCTTAAATGAACCACAGGAAACACAATTCTACTTCAGCTCTCTACAGCTTCAAAGTCAAAAATCACACCAAGCAGCAGATTAGTAGGACCACTTGCTATGAAAAATGTTTTCTCTCCTTCCTTTCTGAACTGGATAAGCAGTACAGGTTGTTTTTTTTTTTCTATCAGTTGATACTGAGAAATCAGTTCAGGCAAAGAGCATCCTGGGCACAAAGGTACAGGGACACAAGCAGGCAAAACTTCCCCAAGCATACCTCACAGACAGTGCAGTGCCATCTGGTCTCCACATGATGCTTGCACTCATTGCAGGTGTAAACAAAGCGGTCTTGGCTCTGGGTATGCAGCTCCACCAACATGCACATGGTTGACCACTGAGCCCTTCGTAGTGAGGAGAACTCCAGGTGCTTGTCTCTAGCAAGGGTTAGGAAAGCATCACGCCCATCCATCAAGTCACATGGAATGAGTGGGTCAGGCTCAACGATGGGGGGCAGGGAGTTGGCTGCAGGGCCAGCAATGAGGCGGATGACAAAGAAGACCTGAAAAGTAAAAAGGCTTAATATACCAGCACTTATCAAGGTATTTTGGTTCCACACAGCATATAATTCCAGGGTCAACTAACAGGTAAATGACAGGTGGTGTGCTTGTAAAGGACTGGGAAATCTCAGATCTCTGGCTGCCCTGCAGTTTGACCTTCTTCCAAAGCATTAGGTGAGGTGCACTGGACTGAGCAGCAGCAGTAAAACTGCTGTGACAATCTAGACTGTTAGGAAGATCTGTATGAGCACAGTCACATTTATCCCCACTGCCCTTGCAGCAAAGAGAACCCAGACTTACTGGTACTTGTCTGTCTGGTGTGCTACTCAATCCTCCAGCCAAACCTGTATGATTTGCAGGGAATGAGTCTGAAGTATCAAAGCTTTGTACACCTCTGTATTGAAATGAAACATATTTCTCATCAATCAACTCTTACCTCCTTGTGCTTCTCCATAGTGGCATACAGCTTTTGGGAGAGGTCATTGGACACATTGGGCATGCCAGGCTTTTTCTTATTGCCACGACTCAAGCTGCTCTTGTTCTTACTTGTCTTCTTATTGTTCTTCTTTTTGGCGTTTTTGCTGTCTCCCTTGCTCACCTAGTAATTTTAAAGACAAGTTATGTCAGGATCTAAGTCACACCACACCAGCATTTCATTACTTCTACATCTTCTATAGCTGCAGGACAAAAACACTTCACAACAATTGACTCTGAAGACACTTAACCAGGGTCCCCAGAAACATTAAATTAATTCCCCTAGAATCACTCCAAAAGATATCAAGATAAGCAATATACACATCTAAAAATATTAAAGCATAAATGCTCAGGAGGTGCAAGGGAAACATTATTTAATGAACTTTGTCTGCTACAGCCCCACACTCAAGAACCTCTCGGACAATGAGAAAGGGGTTTAACAGATGGGTTCTCAAAGCAACTCAAAGTAAACATAACTGAAAAGGACAATTGATATTGCACTAAGCACAGGTAAGAGAGCCTTAAACCACCCAGATTTAGTTTGCTACAGCTAACAGATTCATTTTTAACAGACTGCATTTTGATATTGAGCTGTTGTTCTGAGTTTAGAAGGCATTAGTAATAAAATTTCTAGCATGCACCTTCCTCCTGTCATACCCTGCCACAGCTGAACCAAACAGGTCAGCTTAATTTCAACTACATTCAGTTAGCAATGAACAGTTTACTCCTGACTGGGCTGCTCAGAAGGCCCCTCAAAACACCAGGGCATATGATAATCAAAGATCAAAGCAAGTATTACCAAATAAGCCTTTTTCCTAAGCTTAAAGTAACTTTGCCAGAATGGAAATTTCCAGTGAACGTGAATGACTATCTTCATTTGACAGTAGAGCTTATTATTACCTCATTTTCAAAGGTGAAACATAGGGTCAATATAAAGAGTTAAAATTACTTTTCATAATAAAGGGTAAATAGTAATGTGCTGCAATCACAGGACTTGGGGGCCAAACTGCTGTGAAGGCTCAACTAAACATTGACCAACCTCACACAGAGCCAGGGAATTCCTTCCAACTGGTTTCTACTATATTAGAAAGACAGGAACTTGAAGCTATACCATGTGGAAAACAAACACTACCTTCCCTCAGTAAGATGTTAGTTAGTGCAAATTTGGTATCAAGCTGCCTAATTCCCATGGTACTCTTGTGCTCAGTTTAAATCCTTGAAAGGAAATGCTGCAAAAAGCAGCACAGGAGGACCACAGTTGTCATGTTAAACTTAATGTTTTTGATCCAAAGGTCTTTTAGCAAAAAATTCTGAACCCCAACAGAAATCTAATACCTGATAAGGTGATGAAGCAGCAGTGTTTAAACAGAGTTAAACAACAAGTACTACTGTGTGAGCAAAACTAGTGGTCTGATCCTAGACTCACCACCTCTTGCACAAAAGCTCAGAAGATCCAAGGATAGGTAGATGCCTAAACTTAGCATCTGTTCACTTCCAAGTTTATTGTTGAATTAAGAGGCACATCTTTGGTTTGCTTGGGGTTTCGTGGCACCTTCTCAAAAAAATTGCACGAAGACACCAGCAAAAAATTTCTCTAGTTTAAGTTGCCCAACAACAGTCCAGCAGTAATTTGTGCTTCAGACCCTCAATGCCTTAAAGCAGCTAAACAAATCTATTGAGAGTCAAGTACTGACTCACAGCATTGTTACTTTCTCAGAACATTCTGCTAAGACTGGAGTTTTAACATCTAAGTTAGAAAAGAGTTAGGATTTAGCTTTTGAATAGTGGCTAAGGAAAAAGCTTCCAAATGAATATTGATAATTATTGGATTTCAGCAGCAAAATATTCAACTAACAGCTGTTCCAACATAATTGCCTTTGGTAATTAAACAGGTTTCCAGCCATATGAACAGCCACTGCTCATCCAAATGTAGCTTAGTGGTATTTTAACAGCTCTAATTCATAAACTGTAGAATTTAAATTTATATTAGATTGAAGCCAGAAAGGTGAAGAAGCCAGCTGAGCAGAGTGCCTTGCCCCCCTTCTTTTCTATAATTAGCCATACACAATCACAACTTTCACATTAGATCATGCAACAGCAGAAGCATTCTTACATCTGTGCTTTCGTTACTAGTGTTTTCTTCTCTCTTCCGTTCTTCTTCCTCTTGCTCTAGTTCCTTAATGCTCTCCTCTAGAACATTAGGCCAGAAATCTCCTTCAAAGTAAGGCAGCTCCTTTGCACTGGTTAGACGATCTTCTGTTGCCTGCTTAAATATATCCTACAAGAGAGAAAAACCACTCTTGGTTACCATTGTCACGAGTCACCAGACAACCTTCTCAAGAAGTGACAAAAACAAAAGGCATCAGCAGACCAAACAAAGGAGAGCTTAATATCTCTACTTGTTTTATGAGAGCATGTTCTAAGTGCAGATTTAACACTGCATCAAGTTAAGAGCTGGTCAAGTCCTTTTCCAATATTCCCACTAGGAAGACATAGATCATTATCATATGCTAGATTTCCATGTGCATACTTACCAAATGGGACAAAATAATGACTACATCTCAACCCTAGCTCAAGCCCTGACAATTCCAAGGATTTTATGTATTTCTAATTGCATCAGCATCCTGACCCTGTAATTTTATTTAACGCTCGAAGATTTAAGATTTCATATATTTTCTTTTGCTCTCTTTTAAATTCTTGAGGAATACTGATTCCTCAAGAATTTATTTTTTTTAAGGAATCCTTTCAAATCCCTTGCTAGAACAATTTCAGAAGGTACGTACTCTGAAAAGGATATGTGTTAACTCCAAAATCTTAGTGCTCAGTTCCCTTAAAACCAATGCACTAAATGCCAAGAATCAGACATGGAAGAAAGCAAGACAAGATCAGTCACACACTTAACACACCTTGTAATCATGAACGATGCGCTCCGACACAGATTTGTCCAGCATCTTTTTGTACCACTCTTGCAGTCGTTTGGGTTTGGGTATCTTCTGGTCGGGCGGGTGGCAGTGGAAGATGTAATCGTCTCCCTCGCTGGGTGGGCAGGCCCAGATGTGCCCAGTAGTATACCTGGCAGAGACAAAAGCAGCACATGTGGGTCTGACCACGGACACTCTGCCACGAGGCGGCACCACCGCGAGTTCCCACATAGACCATAATTACAGCTCCCTCGGATCTCGTTCCAGCTTCAACCATGCAGCAACTTTGTCGTCTTTTCACTAATCGTTTTTTCAATTCAGCACCATAGGTGGAGCAGTTTATATGGAACGCGTGCACATTTTCCAGCCTAGATAAAAATCAAAGCCTGATACAGACCTGCCACTGCCACTTCCCAAGTAACTAGTGAGAGAAAGATGGCGACTAGGGATTTCAGTAGGAAAAGCCAGAATTCTTTTTCCTTGAAACAGGGCATCAATTCATTATCTAGTAACATTTTAAGACGAGATTTACGTAAACACGATTCACTTTTCTGCTGTAAATCATCTTTTTTAAACCTTGAGAACCAGTTTTAGTTTTAAAAGGTTTCACAATTATATCTGTGAATAAACAACCACTGTCAACCTACATGACTGGGTGCACAATCTAGAGTACTATTAAGATAGATGACATCAAATAGGAGCAGCTGCAGAAAATAAAACACCAAAAAGATCACTTCATCATCCTCAGTTATTCTCTATTAGTTTTTGAAAAGAACTCCAGTAGGAGGAATAATCAGATCTCAAGTTAGAGAAAAATAACCATCCTTGCTGTGTTGAGAAACAGCTCTGCAGAACCCTACCCAAAGCCTGGGAACTGCAGCCAGTTGTCATTGCTTCTGCCTGACAACGGAGAGATGACACTGCGTGACCAACATTGTTTTCCCAAAACACGAACCTGATGTTGCCCATTAGCACAGAAAATAGCAATAAGTAAAACTGAGGCTTGAGCTCTATGCAGCAATTGCAGACTCACAGGTTAGAAAATACACAACAAAAGCAGCAGAAAGAAGCCCAGTGTCAGCTTTTGGAGTAGTAAAGAACACACCACCTCACTGAGGCACTGAAGACAGTACCAATCACCTCCATTTCGATTCCTCTAACTGTTCTTATGCAACTGCTCTAAACATAGTCCCTAACAATTTTTTCACGAGTAACTCTCTGCCAAGCTACACCAGATACCTTTTGACAATAGACTAATGTTTACTTCACTGCCCTTTCTATATCAGGAATCATGGTAATTTAATTTTCACCTCTCTCATTACTTCAGTTATTCTGTCTCAAGTATATTCTCCTCTTTCTCTCCTAACTATTCAGTTTCTCACAATTTCAACTACTTGTTCTATAAGTGATTTCTTAGTGGCTTTATACAACTGTTACAGAGTTATTTAGTACAGACAGAATACGCTTAACTTTCTCCTTATAAACATGGGTAAGAACTTACTTGCCAGCCCAAAGGAATGACCAAATTAAAGCAGTGACATTACACAAGGACTGCACTACCAACAAGCACAATTTTATGGTCCAGATAAAAAGGCTCACTTGTTCTACTTAGCCATAAGAAAGTTTTACGTAAGTTCAGAAACCTAAAAATATCTGAAACGTAATTCTCTCCTGGAAACTCTGTGATCCTTTTTTGTCTCTTCTTGTTTTCAAGTATACACATTTGTTGCCAAGTTCTTCTACCACTGGTCGATACTTAGGCACTGCATGCTGCACTGTAGGATGCAGTAACTGAATTTGCAGTAAGAACTGCCCAGCACAAATGCTGCACAGAAGAAAATGTTAGCAATACTTACCCTAGCTTCTTGACATATTCTAGATATCCAATTAGTATTTCATGATAGACAGCAGTCCTCAAGCATTTAGGGCGGAAGAAATGAACACTGTCAAGGTAAGATATATACACTCTCCTAAAAAAACAAACACAAACAAACAAAAGGCATGATGAGGGGAGGAGATTCCAAACTAGTTCTACAAGTTTATTCACATCGGTTTATACATCTGAAGCATCCAATAGAGCAGCAACTCCAAAGTCTCTGATCCTAATTTTTCTCCTTCTGATATTGCAGCCTCATCTCCCTAACACTCTAGAAGACTCCCTTCTAGGAGCAAATGGCACTAAGAATCTTCACATCAACACAGAAGCTCTATACAGAACTTCAGGAGGTACACCCGACTGAAATGAAAACAGACTTTCATGCAGCTCCTCACCTTTGATTGGGGGGAGGACAGTCTGAGCCATACTCCTGCACGTGCATCCCAAAGAAGCACAAGTCTACACCATCAATCTCCTCAAAGGCAAAAAGGGCTTTTGTTCGATAAGGAAAAGACTCAGCCATCTCTCCACTGTCCACAAACCTGTGGGTCAGAGGGTAAAGAGGAACACCAAATATAGTCACATTACAGACTGCATGTTACTATGTGAAGGCAACAATGATGAAGGCTACTGTTAAGTGTACTTTTAGTGCAATTTTAAAGTTAATTGCTTACAGACTGCTCACATATCAGCCCAAATGATTCTGTTTAATCAAAAGAGTATTGTCTAAGTACATTCTAATAGCTTCCACCTTCCCCAAAAGCAAGCAAAATTAGAAATGGAAAGAACATACCTTGCTTTCATGCCTGGTTTTACTTCAACAGTTTTGTCAGATGCATGTACCACTCTAACTGTAACCTCTCCTGCCTCAGGGTGATTCTGTCGTCTTAGGAAATCATTGACTCTGTTCTCCAAGAAGGTACCAAGTCTTGTAGCTGGTAACCCTGTAGGAGAAAAATACAGCTCTAAACACACACAAAATTGAACTGTTCGTATGCGATTTCTCTATTCAGATGTTAAATGAAAAGTGACTCTTAACACATGCACTATGCTAACAAAGTTTGATCTTTAAAGCTCAACACTTCTAGGGTGAGCTGCTTTTCCCCTGCAGGCACATGTGTAGCTTATACATTATTTAGATGAAGAAAGAATCTGCCTTCTGGCAGAGCTACATATCTGCCAATCAGCTTTTCATTTTCCCAATTAGACACCTGTCAGTAAAGCATCACTGCTACATTAAATATACTATACTTACAGGTTACTAGAAACAAAACCTAACAGACATGGTAGAAATCCCCATGCATTCTTCCCGTATGCTTGGTGAAACTAGGGAGGTTTCATTTTGGAGAGTTTGAAAAAAGACTCGGATGTTGAAACCATCACTGAATGGTTTGCTGAATCTTGAAGCTACTATTGGTTGAACAGTAGAAATGCAAATCCTCACTATTTATAAGCACACCAACCTAAGAATTTCTGAAAGACTTATTTCATCTACAGAACAGATGGACAACACACAAATTTCCTCCCACACTGCCTTGGTCAAAAGGAGATGTCTATAGAGTTATATCACCAGGTGATGCAACCTTTATGCCCATCAAAGCTTTTATGAGCAGCAGAGTCACTGTGATTTGAACATGTTATTATAAATTTAAGTTCAACTGCAATCACACAGCAACTATTTCCCAATGCTACTAATGCTGCAAGTGAAATAAAAGGATGTCTCTCTTGCAGTAGAAGTGGTCTAAACCAGTACATTAAGCCTCAATAACAGATTATTCACCACCTGTGAATGCAACATTCTGAACATCACAGAACTGATGGTCAAAGCTGACCAGAAGTATTCTCCTTTAACTCCAGAGAGCTGAAATAAATGCAGAAGGAGCACAAAAGCCACCTCCTCTCCATCCTTAACACATCATTTCAATTTGTTGGTGCAAGTGTCAGAATCTTACTCTTAGCAGAGAATTTGTTCTCTTTCCTGGTTCGTCCTGTTTTCTTCAGGCAGCCATCACAGACAAAGCTGAAACAAAAACAGGAGAAAGTCAAGTCACACCAAGTCAGACCAAGTTCTCAAGCACCTTACCATCAGAAGCAAAGTCTTTCCCCAGATCTTACCTAGTCTGGAAAATACCTGAACTGAAATTTGAAATAAAAGACTGCACAAAGATTGGTGCCAGCAGAAACAGCCCAACTATTTCAGAGCTGCAGAGGAGGACCTGAGCTTCAGGGGCTGCATTTCCTGTCAGTTGCCCATGCCACCATCTGCAAGCTCAGGAAACAGTTTCCACTGGCAGGTCTAACCGTGTTGGCTCAAATTATTCTTGGGACAAACAGGCTCAAACTGCTGCCTCTGATGAAGATGAGACAACACAAAGCAAAAGGCTGATTTTTTTTTGCCTAAATGCCCAAGTACCCTGTAGCATGAAACAATTCCATGATTCTTCCTCAGTTACATGAGGTCCATCCTCTTCTGCAGCAATGTGTATGGGACAACAGAATGCTAGAAGTCATAGCTTCCTTGTGCAGAAATGGAACATTTAAGCTCTCACAGAACTTTAACTACATAAAATGTATCAGCTTTTAAAAGGAGCTTTTAAATCAATCAAAAGAAAACCCAGTATGTTTATCAAGAACTGTGGAGTATCTACTTTTAAATTTAATCAGAACACTGAGGTCAAAAAAGTGAATTCACCTGTTAAATTCTTCAGTTGCTACAAAATGTTTTTGAAAACAACAAAAAAAAGTATGATTTGTACAGGAAACAGATCAGTCTGAAACTGTTACTAGAGCTAAAAGCATCTTTTCATGAAGGGCTGCTGTCTTTCACCATAAAAGGCTGAAACATAGGGCTGAAATTCCCTTTTCCACACAAAGAAATGTTAGGAACATTAAAGATTAGAAACAACTTCACACACAACACAGTAAGATAAGATGTCTAAATTTGATGATTGTGTGAAATTTTCAGGGAATGCAACTTCTTCCATTAGACTCACTTTTAACGATGACCAATATAAGGAAGTTTATGCACTAACTCTAGTAAACAGTAAATATATTCTCCACTTAATAAGGAGAAATTCCTCACCCAGAAGGCCAGATTATCTCATTATGAAGAACACAGATCTGGTGCATTTTTCTTCCACACTCTATACATTCAACAAATCTGGAGAAGGCAAAAAAAAGGGCAAAGGAAAGCAAGGTTAGTAATATCATTACTTGCTTGTATATCTTGTAATATTTTATTAGAGGAGCTCCAGCATTTAGGGCTTTTGAGCCTATTTAACATAGAGGGCACATCTATGCTGGAACAGCCTCCAGAACGAATTAAGAACCTGTCAGTTCAAGTCAGGCAGACTATGCAGGGACACATTATTACTCCTTTTTGCCTGTCTTACTGCTGTCCATTCAATTTTTGAAAGTGAAGCCCTTCCAAGGATCAAGTCTGTGAACTGCTTGTTGCTATAATGAAGAGAGGAAAATGGATTCTCAGATGTCAAAAGGGAAGGACCAGGTGAAATACTAGGCTGTTAGTTGCCCCACTAAGCTTGAACCCTGGGGTACATTGCAAATACACTACAGAAAGGTGGGAAGGAAGAAAACAGAAGCAGTATCACAGTTCCTTTCAGAAGGCTAGCAGAGATTTAAGGGTAACAGAGGTAAGTAATATGTTCCACTTCCTAGGTGCTGGTGAATATAATTCTCAAAAATATCTAAGGTTGCTTCAGGTATCAGGACAACCTGATTCCTTCTGAACATATCTCAGAGTTTAAGACTTTGGACAGTTGTCATCTACGTAGAGCATGGGATATCATACTGTAAGTGAGGCTTCTGAGTGTTAGGCTCTATCTTCACTTTCAAAAAGGGAAAGAAAAGCTACAAACCAAGTTACTATTCTTTCCTTCCCACAGGCCTTGTAAAACAGAAGAACTGGCTGACCCTCGTGCCCACAGAAGGATGGTGTGGCAACAGCAAATATCCTTTTTGCTCATTCATTTGAGAATGAAGATAATGTTTGCAGAGCAGCAGCATAGGTGTATAATGCAGGACCATGAAAAGTGGCTTCAAAAAACCACTCAGTAATGTAAAGAAAAGCAGCTGAGTCACCACCATCTTCGTGTTACTGAATTACTACAGTTCTGCTTCCAGAGCAGTACAAAACTGGCTCCTTCAAAATGTAGCAACTTTTCCTTCTACTACAGCTTCCTGTAAAATATGACAACTAGAGAAGCCAATAGCACCAAGAGCTACTGCCAAATGACTCAAATCAGTTCTGAGACTTGAGTGTTGCCACAACAAGGTTTCAAAGCAGAGCAATCTGCATTCATCCTTCTCTGAATCCACATTCAAGACAACAAAATAGGGTAGTTTCAGCCCATACACCCAGTGTTACATACTGCTCAAGTACAGCCACAGTGGTTTGGGTTCTGAGCACAGAAAAACAGATCTGCTGCTCCCTGAGCAGCCCCTGCCAGCTAACAGAGGTACATGAAACTGGAAAACACTCTAAGTCAAAGCTGGGTGAATAATGTCTCTTACAAAAAAAATACAATAAAATGAGCATCATTCAAAGTGTGACAGTAATACTTACAGTTCAGGGTCCAGTGTATCATTTTTCCTTTTTGAAAACTGCTCTTTGTTTATCGTGCTATGGAGAAACAGGCAATAAAACTCAGTTTTAACACAAGACAACACATTCATGCCATACCACACCTAGCCACAAACCAAGACAAACCTTGCAAGCAGGTTTTGTTTTTGGTTGTGTTTTTTTTTTTACACACTCACTGGCACCACAAGGAAGGGAGTTGTATTTTACACAGTGACAGACAACTAAAGTACATACCACTCAACTTGGTCTGTGGAAGATTTTATTTTTTATGGGGCAATAGCTTGTAGCAAACAACATTGCTCCCTTATTCTACTTTACTATAGGGTAAGTGTTAAAGCTTGCTGACATTCAAGTTTTGGATGGGTCTGATCAGTATCTAATAGTGAAAAGACTACTGGATATGCCTCTTATATTCTGCAGGCAGAGAATTCCAATTGTATTTGATGACTGAGAAAGGTAGATTATCTTATTTCAGATTCCCCTAGCCTTCCTACATTAACTTCAAAGGATGAATTTCAGCTTCCAAACCCTGCAACCCCAGCCCAGCTATTACTATACACTATCTTTACCCTCCCTACAGCATCTTCAAGGCCTAAAATTCCATCTTTCTGACGGTGAGGTCCCGGGTAACTTTTATATCAATCTGGTTCAAAATAACCCAGAACAGGCATACAAGATCTCTTGAGAATTTACCCCAAAGAGGGTGTGGTATAACGTGAGAAGATCAGGACATGCTCTTCTGAGAAGCAATGACACAGACTCACTCCAGCTCGAGTGAGGTGAAGTAACCCTCCTTTAATTTCAGTGTTTATTCTGAGTAGTGCCACCTGTAGAATACTTGAAACCCCTTATATGATAAATGATAGAAGTTCAATCTCCCAATTACCTCAAACTGTTCTTATAATCTGGTGTGTAGAACTGCAAACAGGACCTGCCATATATATCCCTATGATTTCATACTGATTAAACTTCAGGTCTTTGCTTCTACTACAATAGTAATCCACACTATCCACAGGGACACAACCCATTGTGTGTCCCATTCCTATCCCTTAGGAAGAAATAATGTTTGTAAGGCAGATCGTAGAACGGTTTGGGCTGGTAGGGACCTTAGAGATCATCTAGTCCCAAACCCCATGCCATGGGCAGGGACACATTCTACTAGACCAGGTTGTTCCAAGCCCCATCTAATCTGTCCTTGAACACTTCCAGGGATGGGGCATCTGTAACTTCTCTGAGCAACCTGTTCCAGTGCCTCACCACCCTCGTAGTGAAGAATTTCCCCTTTGTATGTAATCTAAATCTACCCTCTTTCAGTACACTTACAACTTGCCAAGCCCAAATGGATACCTTCACTACTGTTCTAGATACATCCATCAGTGTATCCAGGATATGGTAACATGCTACTAAAGTCAACTTCTATTTCCAAATGAAAGTTAACTCAGTTTGTCCAACTGCCAACTTCAAAAACTCTCTCCCTGGCTTCAAACTTCCCTAAATTACTCATTTGTTTCTATCTGCAGGGCTCTTGCAGTGACTTCTCCCAAAGAAACTTCTTCAACAGTTCAAAGAGTAACTGCTTGGCACTCTTTTGTCCCTCAAGGGCTTCCCTTAGTGTACCAAAACACTGCTTCAACATTTTTTTGGGGGGAGGTGTAAGGATGGTAGAGTAAATTTGAAGACAGCCCCAACAGTTTGCCACCAACATGGAAAAGGCAACAAAAACTAAAACTGGAAAAAACCTGGCAGGGGTTGGAGAGAGGTGGGGGATGGTCTTTCCTGCCATGGCTGCAGGGAGAAGACTAGAGGGAATGGCCTTGAGCTGAGACAGGGAGAGTCAGATTAGATGTTAGAAAAGACTTTTTCACTGCTAGGGTGGTCAGGCACTGGAATAGGTTACCCAGGGAGGTGGTGGAGTCACTATCCCTGGAAGTGTTTCAGAGGTATCTGATGCTGGAGGATAGAGTTTAGGGGTTCCAGCAGAGTGGCAGAAAATGGTTGGACTCAATCTTAGGTCTCCTCCAACCTTGATGATTCTAAATCCATGCACAGCCTTTTACTGTGTTCTGCTCAACAACTGCACAGCATTTCTCATAAGCAGATGGCACTCTGAAAGTGAAATATTTGTATGGCAAAGGAGGTCACCTGCATCTGATATGGATGAAAAACAACCTGATGTTGAATGCAAGTTTAATAGCACAGTCAGTGTATAAAGAAAATGGTACAGTTGACTATTTTGAGCTATGTCTGTCACCTACTTGCCTGCAGGCAGGGTAATTTCTCTGCAGCAGAATACTTCCTTTTTTTTTTCCAGGAAAAAAGCATTCTCCTTTAGCCCCTCTATTGGTAGAGTTGCAATTTTATGCATTATTATTTATTATTACATTTTAAATAATTATTAAAATTATAATTTTAAGCTTATGTTTTCACTAGCTTAGTCAGTCCATATTTTACATTAAAAAAGAAAATCTACAGCATAGGTCTAGGCTCTTATGATTAATATCTCATCCACCTTCTACTAACCTAAACACCTGAATCTAAAGTCCTTCCCTTTGAGAAAGCACTGCAGACCGTGACAGAGCTTACAAATGCACAGCCCAAGCAAACACAAACAACTCACGTTTGAGGTTGTGATGGGTCATCTCCCAGAGAAACGCTCTCCCCTTGGATTTCGTTGAAGCACTTCTCACAGAAATGATACCTGTCAGCAAGAAGGCCATATTTGGGTGAACTGCTCCATCCACACAACACAGCCCAAGTCAAGCAACGGAGCCACCAATCACAGCAGGCCAAGGAAGGGACAGGAGCAGAGAGCAGGTCATCAACGGCGACAAGGATATTCAATGATGCAGATTTATGGGCCCCACATTGTGTTTGGTTGGTTTGGTTTTTTGGGTTGGATTTTTTTTTTGCGCAATCAAAGCCAAGTGCAGACAATGACAAGCATGAAGGAGAAATGAAAAAAAATAACACACACACGAACAAACAAAGAAATGGGGGTTTGCAGGACAAAAAACCAAAAACATAGAAGCAAGACAAGACAACACAAAGCAGAAAGCCAAGGCAAAACACAGATTAGCATTAAATCTCTCAAATGGGTTCACAAGCAGCAAACGATTAAAACAAATTAAACAAGAGTATTCCATTTTAGCATACCCATACCCTCTTCATTTTAATAATCCATGCCACGTACAGCAAAGAATTAAAATGAGAAAGGGGGAAAGAGCAGAAGGAAGGAAGGAACTGCTACTCTGACTTGTACATCAGCACAGCAGTTCTGTTGGCAGGAGGATCTGCATGAAATCAATGGAAGAAGGGTAGTCTTCCATCTTAAAAGCATAAATGCTGAAAGGTCACAGGATTCTCTCCCGGTTGAAAGGGAAAGCTAAACATCAGAAGCTTCATGAACAATCAAATCTGTCCTCAAAATTCTTACAGACTAATGAACAGAACTGTCAAACTCTCTACATGGATATGATTCTGCCACAACCCAGTTTGCATGTAGAACAGTCTAGCCATCACTACAGCAAGCAAGGTTTCATTTGTTCTTGAATAGAGATTCTACCCCAGCCCCCAAAAATGCTCCAAAACCGTGGCCTCTCCGTTACTAAGCCATGTTAATTGAGTGCATAAGACAGCAAAAAAAATAGAAAGAAATAAAAGAAAGCACAAACAAATTCATTTATAAAGCCACACAAACCAATGCTACAGCAGCTGTTAGCCTAAAAAGGCAGGTCTCAACTCCTCTCCCACTTTGCATCTGAGATAATGCAAAGAACAGTGCTTCTGGAACTGTATATTTCAGTCCATAGATACATATATGCATGTGCATATATAGCAATCTACACATCATATGTATGCACAGTTACAGTGCAAACATGAGTAATGGTCTTTTGGTCCACCTCTTACTTGCCCATAGACAAACATAAGCAGAAGATACTGACATGATATGAAAAGCTCTGCACTAAATATATCAGTTGAAAACTACAACAGTTATTATGGGGTACTACAGGAGTGAAGTAGAAGGAAGTCAGCTTATAAACCACCGTTCACTGCTATAAACCTTTCTGAAACCTTAGAAGGTTAAGAAATAACTTGTGCGGCTCTTTGATTGCTTTCACCTGACAGGTGCCTCAGAAATGTTCTTGGCTTTCAGGTAAAATCCATAGTGTTTTTGTTGGTTGGTTTGAGGGTTTTGTATTTGTTTAAGGTGTCGGAAAGAATGGAGAGAGCAGGGACTAAATAAATTGATGGAGGTGACACGGTTTGGAGATAATGAGTCCTTTCCTCTAAAAGGTGACAGGCATGGGGATATGGGAATGTTTAAGCATGTATTTCCCTGCTTCTTCCTGCCTCACTTTCCCAACTGGCAGAGATATCTATCAAGAAACCTTCTTTCAGAAGTTAAGTACGTTTAAATCCTTTAATAAACCCCAAGTAAGAAAGATATTCAGAAGAGCTGTAGAAGTGACAGCACTTTACAGAGCTACTGACAGCTACTGCAAGACAATTCCCTTTAGGAAACTTCCTGAGGAAAAGCAAGCATCAATCTGCTGAAGATCTGAATACATAGATCTTCCAATTAAGATGCACAACACAAAGCTAAGTTTGTTCCTCAGTGTTAACATCACGAGAAAAACAAAGACTTGCCAAGAATAATGTGTATTATGAGCATTAATATACTCGCTGCATAGTTTACTCAGTGTTCTGCATGAAAAATACTGCTGCACAGTAGGAAGCAAAGGCAACAGACTTGTATATATGATTTGTAGGGAAGCGAAGATTTAATTAACTGCAGGATAAAAATGTAGTAAACACCACATTTCTGCAAACAAAAGAGGACGAGCAAAGGCCGCAGTGAACTTTTGCAGGAAGAAATCATTACTAGCACACACAGCAAACTGGTCAAGAGCACTTCCAGCAGAAACTGTAATTCTTGAACACAAAGGTGTACACATATAAAGAGGGTGTCCATGTAAATACATGCACGCCCGTAACAGATTGATCGCAGCATGCACAGAACCACACCAGCAGTTCTCCTTACCTGTTCTGGTAACTGTAGTAAGTGGCATCTCGAGGGATTGTGCATAGCTGTTTGCCATAGCAACACAAAGTCTGCGGCGAGAACTCCAACTGCAAAGAGGAATGGGTCATCTTAGTACTCGTGTGTTTGCACTTGCTCACTGTGGGAAGCAAGAGTGACCCAGACAACTAACATTTCTACCTTCCTCTGTGCACAGGTCGCACAGTACAACCAAGGGTATGCAGTGCTAGTCATAAAAAAACATTCAGTGGGCTGTTATTCTTGTGAGCTCTTCTCCAAAGACAGAAAGTGTATTGAACTGAGACAATGGAAACAGTCTCTATACACAGTAAAACAGAGCACTACTGCTGCAGTGACAAAACCACACCTGTTTAATTTGCAACAGCAAATGGTTTCACCCTAGTCAAAATAAGCTTTTAGTGACTGAATTTTCCCACCAAGGGCTTATACACACATTGATGATTTAGGCACAAGATAGAATTGGAAGATCCATAAACCCCTCAAAAATCAGATTACTCAGAATTTCTAAATCCTGCAAACTTTTGAAGCTTTCGACACACTGTAACTGCTAACAACTGCAAATGTCCTATTTTTCCCCTTCAATACAAGGAAGCAAGAACAGGCTAAAGATATTTATTTTCTTACCTTTCTTCCACAGCAATAACCCAGGCTCTGCATAACTGGGTCAATTTCTTGCTCAAACACCTCTGCCAGCTTGGAACAGTATTTGTATACCCGGGATGTTTTGCGGTTATACAACCAGGCATTATTGAACATGAGCCAGATGTCATCTACATATTGCCATGGTTCCTGATACTGTCCTGTGTCCAGCTTCCTCTTGATAGTGGAAAGGTCCATTGGGCTCTTTACGATGTCAAAATAATCCTGCAAGAATAAGCAGCACATCAAAACATTACTACAGAACTCCGTTGTGACACAGCAGTGTGTGCATTCTCAGCATATAAATTCCTCTCATCAAGAAAAACAGGTTCCTCCCCGACTTGATTGTCAAACTGCTTGTGACACACACAATGCAATCTCTAAGTAATACCATATCATTCCCCAGTGCTTTCTTTTCATTATTCCTTTATTTCTTAGGCTGCTGCTCCTTCAATCCTGATGAAATATAGCCACTCAAATCAGCAAAACAAGTTATTGCAAAAAGCAGGAAACAGCGATGTTTTTGCAGCCATTATGATCTGGAGATACACACAAGAGCGTTAATAGAAAGCGACTGGTTTTAGTAGACCAGATAACCTAACAAAATGAAATAACTTTATTCCGTGATAAAAGATATCATGTCTTCACTACAAAAAATGCCTTTTTCCAATCCACCTTTAATTATGGGGCAACTTCTCCTACAAAAGCCTGCAGAATACGACAGTCAGGAGCAGATATGAGCAGCTGCATAAATGCCTGTAATACAGCAGGCCTTGAATTTTTGCAGTGTCTGCCTTAAGCCCACACCAAAACCAAACAAAAACTCTTCCAGGCAAAAAATGTTGGCCAAAGCACCTAAGTAGAACTTCTACTTATACATATTTGTTTATATATAATAAACTTGGGTGGTCAATTCAGAGAGTTTAAAACACAGATCCTTGAAGGATGATTAAGTCTTCTGGAAACAATTCTAAAACAAGGAGAAAATGCAACCTAAACAAAATCTGTAACCTGAATAGTCTCTTCCTTTCCTACAATAAATTAATAATCATTGATGGATTTTTTTTTAAGTGGTCTTGATCAGCTTAATTTCCTACATCTCCAGACAAGCTGTATACATGGTTAGAAACACCTACAAAGTTCAGCAATAAAAGCATGAAGCAACAACCATAAAAAGCCCAGAGAACACTGTGGATCTGTTGGCAATCACTTCAGTGCATGACCTATCTGCTTATTTATCAACAGCAACACAGAACCAAACAAACTTTTGAAAAAACAAACTTTCCAAAGTCAGACATTGTATATTCTACTGCCTAAGCTAACCTTGTCCAAACACATCAACATAAAGATGTTAACAAGACAGACCGAAGCTGTTTGAGAACAGGTACATCAAAACATAGTAGTTCTGACTTAAAGTCAGGAAAGTATCTTGCTAAGACACTCACAGGAATTCCTAGTAGTTGGGGATCCACAGGCTGTCGAAATGGAAGAGACTCTGGATCCTGACGGTAAAGTGCCTCCAGTGCTGGCATAAGCGCCTGCCGCAACTCCTCTGGCTTGAAAACTTCAAAAAACAATCAACATTAGAAAGACAGCAGAAACAGCTGGAAGGAAGAAACCGGCTGGAAAATGAGAGGTCTGCAGAAAAAAACTACAGACAATGGGTTTAAGGTACTTAGCATGGCTTGTTTATCCTCTGCATCACTGAGTGCTGAGGAAGATATTAAAAAGGGATCATAGGAAGACACTGCTAAAATGATGAGTGGAGACAGTTTACATTCCAGATGCAGCCCCTCTCTAAGGCTCCAAGAAAAAAAAACTTATCTAGAAAATCTGTAACTATTTCAAATCTTCGTTGTATTGACAATTTTACTAAGGCTTAGCGACTAATTCTAAAGCCTTAAAGAAATTGCCCAAAGCCAATTATAAGCGCATGTATTATGAGATATTTTAGTCCAAAAGTCACAAAGAACAACTCATATAAGCCTACTAAGTACCAAAAAGGAAAGCTCAGAGGTTTTTTCCTCCTCAGATTTCTCTAGGGAGATGCAGTGAATTTCAGTCAAAAGTGTTCCTGCTTACTTTTTTTCTTAGACTGCCCAGCTGCTGGAGAAGACTGAGTAGCTGGAGTTGTAGGTCTTTCTTCCCCCTCTGGTACTTCACTCTTCATTTCAGGTTTCTTCTCTTCTTGCTCCATTGGGTCTGGTTTACATTCCTCCACAACTGGTTCTACTTTCACCTGGAAAGTAGTTTGGAGCCTGTCACTTAAGTCTCCTGGGAGTTCATCCATCCACATCTGTCCTTTGAACTCATATGTCACCCTGCCCACTACTCTTCCCCAAGGTTAAGAGTATCCCCTTTTTAGTCAAAATTTGCCTAAAACTCGAGCAGATGTGTTAAAGGCATCTTTAAACACTGCAGTAGTAACAATGATGAGCTGCTAACAAGTTCTGAGCTGCAAGCAGACACAGTTACCCCTTCAGCTCTTCAGGCAGTTCTAGCAATTGCTTCTCCAGCAGGACAGCCAGGGTGACCCTACTAGAAGTCACACTCCTAGCTGTCCTCAGTGACAAGTGGTAACAGCCCAGTAAAGCATTCCATTGTGCACACACAGAATCATAGAATCACTCAGGTTGGAAAAGACCTTTAAGATAATTTGAGTCCAATCGTTAACCCAGCACTGCCCAGTCCACCACTGAGCCATGTCCCTAAGTGCCACATCTGCAAGTCTTCTAAGTACCTCCAAGGATGGTGACTCAACCACTTCCCTGGGCAGCCTGTTCCAATGCTTGATAACCATTTCAGTGAAGAAACATTTCCTAATATCCAATCTAAAGGCTGCCTGGCACAACTTGCAGCCATTTCCTTTCACCCTAGTAACTGCTGCTCTTATATTTAACAGTTAGTTGTAGCACTGACCTGAGTGCATTCTTACATTGGCATTTACCAAAGGAAAGCCTCACAGCTGCAATCACATTATCATGGTCATTTCTTGTGACTACTGGCTTCTACCACAGGTTTCCCAGAAAACATAGACCCTTCTCTAGGAATCAAAGACAAAAACAACTAGAACTGCAGCAGCAGGTAGTACCTACAGCTCTCACTGAACTCTGGAAGGAATGACTTGCATAGAGACAAAACATCTACAATCTAGATAGATTTAGAATCCAGAGATTCAGATTAGATGTTAGGAGATTCAGAGTAGATGCGAGGAAAAATTATTTCCCTGTTAGGGTGGTCAGGCACCGGAACAGGTTGCCCAGGGAGGTGGTGGAGTCACCATTCCTGGAGGTGTTTAAGAGGCATCTGGACCTGGTGCTGGAGGATATGATTTAGGGTTTAGGGGTTACAGCAGAGTAGCAGGTTAATAGTTGGACTTGATGATCTTAGAGGTCTCCTCCAACCTTGATGATTCTATGATCTAGAAGCACTAGATGAAGATAGTCCACCTGACATCTGGTCAACAATCTCACCTCAGATTTCTCTTCCATTTGCAGCTCAGTTTGTTCTGGTTCCCCTTCCTCTGTTTTCATGTCCATTTTCACTTCCTGCATGGGTGGCTGCTGCTGCTCTGGAACAGTTTGCTGAGAGTTCACCTCTGTGCTGCTGGTGGATGGGGGGTTGGATACCTGCCCATCAATGCTTACGGCTGGCTGCGAAAGCTGAGGCAACAAAACACACATTACAAATATGCCTCTTTTCTTTCTCTAGTCTACTTTTTACCTATACTATGTTCACACCAAGTTTAAATGCATTCCAGTCATTCTATTTGCTTTCCCTGAAGAACATACTGTCATACAACTCCAACTATAGAAAAACATGCAACAGAAACATATACTAGAAGGTCTAGTATACAGAAAATATCATACTGTTTCCCTATTGTATACAAGCACTATGCATACATAGACATAACAAAAAATCTAATCTGTTTCACAGTGAATTTCAAAACACGCACCAGAATTCTGAAAAACACTCCCTCTCTACAAACACCAGATGATCTACAGACTTATCTTGATACAGAAAAGTTTACTCCCCCAATACAAAAAACCCACCATTTTGATATTAAACATGCCATGCCAGGAGCACAAAAAACCCAACAAAACGAAACAATTGAAAATTAAACCTTACACTTCAACATTTGGACAGACAGCACGATTAAATTATTTCCTTACAGGTGTTGTAGGGTGCTGAGGCTGCAGTGGTGCTGTTGGTGTGGGCACAGATGCAGTCGTGCTCTGCTGTGACAGGGGCTGCTGCTGTTGCTCTGCAGAAGGGGTAACTGGAACTGGAGGCTGGACTTGTGGAGGCAGCTGTGCCTGTGGAGGTGTTGGAGTCTGCCTTTGAGGGGGGTGCATAGTTTGGGACTGTGGTCCAGGTGGCATTGCCTGAGGAGCAGGTGTGGGGGCAGTCGTGGCAGCTGCTGCTGCCTGCTGTTGCTGTGATCCCAAGCCTGGGGGTGTGTGGTGAGGTGTTGGGGTTCGGCTAGGTACTGGAGAGGGAGAATTTCGGTGCATGGGAGGCTGTGGAAGAGGTGGGCAGTGAATATGGCTCCCTTGAGAACCTGGAGCCATTGCAGGAGAATTCACAGGACAGGAAGCGCTGGTCATTTGTGCCTATGGGAAAACAGGGACACATTTGCCATGACTTGAAACAGAAAAGCAAGAGAAAATACTGTCAAATGGCTGGTTTCTCATAGCACACTTTAAAAAGTGTGACAAACTATCTGCTTTGTTTTTAAAAACTCTTTCAAAAGCAGAAATGGTCTGATTTATTTTGCTCTATACAAGCATAAGGCTGTTTTGTAAATTATTAATCTCTTTTAGAGAAGTTTCACAGGGTAACTTAGACTTGTTGATATAGTTAAAGAATGGCACACCTACACTGCTCCCAGTTTGCAAAGCATTACTTTCTAACACTGCATATTTGTATATCCTGAACACAAGACAATGCCCCAGTGAAAAATTGCATTCAAACACACTTAGTGTGCCCATGCCCCCACCCACAAGACTAGAAACTGAATTTATCATCACAAATAAGTACAGCTGTAACTGCACCATTATGAAATTATCCAAAACCTGGTATTGGTCAAGGAAAAAAAGCTGTCACTCCACAATAATCTTGCCTGCAAACTAGGAAGAAGCATCAACGAGAAGCAAACTGACGTTCCCTACTTCTTCCTGGCCTGAAAGGTTCTTGCTGAAAAGGGAGAGGGAAAGGACAGAAAGGAAACTGCTGGACTGTAAGTTCAGACCTTTAGTAGTGATAACCCTCCTAAACCCCCAAAGCCTGCAACACACATCGGTCCTGGACAGACATGCCTTTTTATGACTTATTCCAACACCTCTTAATTTCTCAGGCTTTGCTGCTTCACTGTTCAGCAAGGGATTCTTAACTACCACATGCTGAGGCACAATTTCTTTTCTTCTTTTCTGCTCCAAAAAAATCAAACCTAAAACACTTTCTCTGTAACACAGACACTTAAGCCTGACAACAAGTCAACAATGTTTCACCCTTTGTCATTCCCAGTGTGACATCAGGAAAAGGCAGAAGTGCAACAGAGTTGCAACAAATGAATTCGTGGGCTCTAATTCCGAAGCCTCTGAACAAAACAAGTTGTTCTCCATTACAAGAAACTGAACAAATGTAACCAGTACACAGTAAACAGTAACAGTCCACTGACACCACTTCCAGAAACCAGGAACTTACTTGAGACACTGGTGTCTGATTGCCAGGCTGGGTCATAGGCATGCTCGCTGTGTTCATTCCCGGGGAAGAAGCAGGGAACTGAGTCTGTTGCAGAAACTGGTTCTGACCAGACGCCTGGCCAACTCCTGGCTGCTGCATACGGGAAGGAAATCCCATCTGTTGGAAAAGAAAGGAACTCATTGCACACAATGTGCATACAACCTCCATAATGTTTCACAAAAAAACCCACCCATATATCTTGTTGTAGAAATTGATGCTTGCCACTTATCAGTAGGATATAACATGGAAATTCTGCTTACAGCTCCTCTCAAATTTGCAATTATGAAATTACGATGATTTCTCTTATAATTAAAAAGATATTGATTTCAGCCTGGGACTGACTTAAGATTTATTTTTGTTCCTTGTTTTAAGGATGCAACTAAAAGCCACTTCAACTTAATTTCTAGGCAATTTTTACCACAAAGATCTAAAGGTTTACTGTAGATCAGACAGATCTTTGAGAGGAGATGCAACGGAAGGAACCGAAGGGCGAAGAGAATGAAGTGATGCTTGATTCATTTTTACATTTCTTTTATTTAGTGATTTTAAGGAAACCACAGCCAAGAGAAGCAAACCCGTGAGCTCAACACCCTGGAGGGAAGTCACACTGACCTGGTTCATGGCCCCGGCCTGACTTAGCTGTCCAGGGTGCTGAAGAGGAGGGGTTTGCCGGGGTCCCATCGGCGACAGCTGCATGTTCATCTGGCCAAACTGATTAATTCCTGTGAGTTTGTGCCAAAAAAACATTTATAAACAAAGGCCTGAATCCTCCTTTGGGCACCATTCAACATTTTGAGAAAAAATGCTGTTCATTTCTTCCTAATTTTGCTTTCAAGCAAATATTGCCTTCTTTCAACTAGTTACATGAGTAACTTTTAAATATAGTGTCCAAGCTACCATACTCCTTCAGAATACAAGACAAGTCCTTTCCCCTCAAAAGACTTGTTTCCACTGTAATTAAAACTTTAAGTCTGAGAACCACTGGAATACAAGAAGAACAATGAAGTGTCACACCTGCTGTTGAAGATGAACTGTCCACAGAAAGTTACATTATCTTAATTGCATATTAGAAATTCACTTATTCAAACTCAAACTGTATCTTCACTTCCTAAAGTACTTCGCATGTTCTCTGTTATAAGCCTTGAATGTGTAACAAAGCTTCTGCCCTTTGCTTCAGAGCAGAAACTCTCACCACATTTGCTCTGCCACCAACATGCTCTCACCTGAGCTGGCTGGGCTCACCATGTTCGACTGACCCCACCGTCCTACGTACACACCATCAGAAATCCCAAAAGCATCAAGCTCTTTATTTAACAGAGCAAGCAGCCAACAGGCAGCTCAAATTCACCAGACCATGAGACACTATTAGAGATACATAGGGCTTTATATATATAGTATATAGTTATATAAATATTATACAATATAGATATTTTCTTAATCAACTGAAAAAACTGCACATGATAAAAAATGGCTATGACACTTCAGCAACAGCTCCCCAATTCCAAGATTCCTTCAGAATCACAGTAGTAAATTTTCTTCAAGTACTTACCTGGCTGCGCCTGCATGCGATTCATCATCTGGTTTGGCACATTGGCACGTATCAGGGTTGGGTCAGGAAGAGGACCATCTGGGGAAAAAAAAAAAAAGATCTTGAATTAAGACAATGTCATTTAGAAGACCACCGGGATTTATCCACCAAACATTTTAGTGAGAATTACACAATAAAATCCATGTATAAAAAAAGCATTAAAAACATATAAAAAGAGAAATGTATACAGTCTAGTAACTAAACACTCTTGAAGACACCTCAAAGTGTGAAACAAAACCAAAAACTTCTTTGAAAATATAGTAAGTATTGACAGAAATATCCTCTGATGTGGAGTCAGCTTTCAGTAATTGAGAACAAATTTGAAGTATGTTATCAAGGTACAGCAACGAACAGTAGCTCATGAACATTCCAGACAGAAAGAACTTCTACAGACAACTGTACAAGCACCAACTAAACTTTCAAAGGCATAAACACCTAAGCACTTCAATCATCATACTCTGTTTAGCAACAGTGATAACAGCGATGATCATTCTAAACAACTAAGCATTTATGACAACATATTTCTTTTAGAGCAACTGATGTTATCATTAAATCAATTAATTCCAGAGGTGAATCCAATGAGACTGAAGTTCTATGACATTATGATTGCAACTTAATCTCTACTCCCTCCACCTCAAAAGCAAGCACGAAGATTTACAGTATTTCAATTTGTTTAAAAGACTGAATGCTTTTAGATAATTTACGGCCATTAACTAGCACATAAGCAAAGCAAAGACTTGGCAAGTGCTTCTGAACAAAAAGGAGAAAGTTCTCTAACTCTGAGCAAGTCAGGTACTCATGAAGGGCTAAATGGTCATCAGCCTACCAAAGTGGCAGCACAGGATTCCCCTGCACCAGGTAGTGTATAACCCAATGGTTCTTACTTGCAGACATTCCTGGCTGTGGCTGTCCCATATTGGGCCCTTGACTCATGGGAGCCTGTGGCATGCCTGGAGCATTTGGGATCATGTTTTGCTTCTGCAGCCTGGTTCTTCGTTTCTCCTCCAGCTCCTTCTGAATCTTATAGATCTTCTCTGCTAGCAAGTGATAGTACTCTGCCTGTTGGGGAGGAATACAAGTCAGGAAAGGAGATGACACACACATTAGGAAAAGGCAACATGTCTCAGTGACTCAAACTTGCAAAACAGCCTTACACACACCCATTCTGGTTTGGGGGGGGCCTCCCCCTTGGCAAGGGCTGTCAGGCACACAGGAGCCCAACAAAGGGCACTGCTCTCAACCATTAGATTTGCACCAGACATTTCTCTTTTCATGTCCAACACTTCTATGGGACAATCAGAGTGAAGACCTTGACTCTGCCTTCAGGGAACCAAGAAGTCTCAGGCAAAAAACCACTGACTTCTGGCACACCCAAGCAGCAGCCTGCAGCTGGCTGGTTCCTAGACTCCGTTCAGCAGCCCCTAAACACACTCAGTCTGGGAGTCTCATCTGTGCTTTCACTCCTCTTTGCCCCAATCACTATGGCATCAAGGCAGAGATACACATGACTGGACAACATGGAATGGCATCTCACCCTGCTGTTTGCTGATTCATACATATCCCCCTCCACTTTCCGAGCATATGCCACCAGATTCTCCATACGACGATCTTTCAGTGCTGCAGGGTCAGGAGTAGGAAATATGGCTTGGACTCTGTAGAGGGGAGAAAAAAAAATATAAAGTGCATGCAAGTGATTAGGATGGCCCCAGACCAGGACACCAGCACTAACCCCAGTGGTTTAAACATGATAAAACAGCAAATCTTTTGACAGACCGCAGCACTGCTACTGCTCCCAGGGGACACAGCCCACATGGCTTGAGTATGGAGTGGGAAACTTCCAATACAACAGCCCCAAACCAGCAGATGTAACTCCATCTCTTGACAGAAATCACTCCCTGGCCCTCTAGTTTTGCAGGCTGGGCTTCCTTCTGCCCTCCGAATACACCTCAGGGGCAGCAACTCACCTAAACAGGAGACTATTTCGATATTAGCTACTCACAATTTATGAACAAGGTGGTTTCGGAGATCCTGAGTAATGTCTTCATGCCACTGCTTTCGAATTCCAGTATTGGATGGTTGAGCTGTTGGCATGGCTCCCAAACTGGCAACGTTGGCGCTTTCACTCATCATGGGGCTTCAAAAACAGAGCAAGAATTGAGGGCAAAAGTCTAGCCCAAGCTTTGTCATCTTACAGTCATAGCCTCTTTTAGAATAATGTCAGGACAAAGTGCTAGTTCAGCCATTCCCTAATCAATGGACAAACTCTGCAGAAATAGCTGCACAGACACCAAAACAACGCCAGGAAAGAGTACAAGCTGTTCTACCCAAGGATTTGGAAAAGTGCAACAAAAGCTACAAAATCCAAAGGCAGAGATAGCCATCAATGGCATTTACCCCACTGTTTATGCAAGAAGTGCCATGAGATGAAAACAAAATCACTGGGATACAAAGAACAATTCAACTTACTTTTGGGAATTCATGGTTGAATGTAACATTGAGTCAGGCAGCAGATTAGGGGGTTGAACCCCTACTCCTCCATTCACTCCCATTGGATTTGCACCTAGAAAATGGACAAATACTGAATAAATGAAGAGCCCATTTACGGTGCAAACTGAGTAACTGCTCAGCAGCAAGGGTTAAACTTGCAAGTACTCTGACTTTTGTGAAAGGAATTTAATTACCCATCACTCTCTTTACCCTTTCTTTTACAAACTTAGAAAGAGTCTGAGGCACAACACTGATGACCTCCAAGCGAAGCATCAACCACATTACTCCTCTGCACATCTTCCTGAACTTCTCAGCAAACAAGTGGATTTCGATTTGCTGCAAACACAATGTCCCAGAGTCCTTTCCTGTGACTAGCTAAAGACTCAGCATCTCAAATCACTTTTTTATGTAGAAGCTGTTGGGTTTTTTGTCATTCAGGGGCTTACAAGATATATATTCACAAAGGCTTCAAAAACTTAATACATCAGCTACCTCCTACATCTGACAAGGTCCCCTCTCACCCACTCCATACAACTAACTTCAATATTTGTAAGAAGGAAAATCTGATGAACATTTCCTCAAAAAACCCCTAGTAATTTTTTACATACCAAAAATCTGCTTTTCTGAATCACAGCAGATCTTAATCACCATAAAAATATTGACTATTTTCTTCACACACTACAGTTAAGTATCAAATAGTAAAGAAAAATGCAGCATATTTCTGCCTGGAGCTTCCAAACAGATCACCTTGTGGAGCCATTACCAAGCTTCACACATATTTAGGACACCTGAATCCTACAGAATCTGTACTTTAAGCAAAATAACACACTGCAAACAAGAAAAACCCACCGAAATTAAGTATATCAAGCTTAATGCATACCTCTAATATCACAACTGGGTATTTTTAACAATCTTTGAATAAGGCTGCCTCCAGTCTCCCTTCCCTTAGTCCCTTTCGCTTCCTTCCCCAATTCTTTGTCATCTCTGAGTATGCTGCCACGCAAGACAACTGTCAACCTTTGCATTAACTCTCCCTTTTCAACTGCCAAAAATAACCATTTGTTTGAGCCACTTAGGACTGCATCTTTTCATGCTGCAGTCCTCACCAAATTCTGTTTCTAAATTAGCCCTATTGTTCTGTAGGCCATGACCTGCCAGTTACTATCTCACCTGTTGTAGTTCCTTCCTTAGCCACCCACTCCTAATAAGGAAGCAATAATCAAAAGTCTACACTCTCCACACTTGTCCTTTCTGCATTAAACTGCAGTTCTTGACTCTCCAGGAGCTTTTTCAATCCCATTTAACTGGATTTTTCTTAGCAGTTCTACAAGAAGTGCCCACTAAGAATGCACAGGCCAAAGTGTGTCTATAAATAAATACATAAAGTGTGAACCATTTTGCTTCAGAAAAACTAATCATATTCCTTATAACCTTTCAATACCCTCACTATAGCATTTTTGAGCCACGAAAAATTCATGTTTGTAAAACACTAATGCAGAGTAAAAAACCATACTACTTCAACCTAATTTTTTTAAGAACTAAGCTCTCAGGATTCTTCCCCTCCCCTCCTCTTTTAAAAATTGCTTTACAGACTGGAAGGCAAAGTTTCTGCAGTACACAAGTCACATGCAACCTATGAGTCTAGTCTATGCCACCTAACAGCCTTTTCCTGAGTAACTTGGGAGTAGTATTCCCTTTGGTGTAGAAACACACAAACTGCAGCCTTTAACTACTACTTTCCTCTGCAACTGCTTGTTCTGTATGTGAGCTCAGCATGGGACACATAGGCAGGATCACTGCAATCCTATACAAGCTTGTCATAAATCACTACCAGCTCATCTTCCCTCTTTTCCATTAAAAAAACTCACATCTACTTACACAACTCAAGGAAAGAGCTGCAGGTGAGAAAAAAATGCTGTGATGTAATCTCAAACTATCAAAATTAGATTTGAGGGTTAAAAGTGACTCCACTTGATACCAGGAATAGCCAGGATTGGATTAACTGCACTTCAAATTCAAATTCTTACCTAGTCTTTCATGCTGGTGCCATAAGACCCCCAGTCAATTTACAGCTACGTGAGACCATGTGACAGGATTCAGGGAATGTCAGGAATTTACTATTTTTCATTTTTAAAATAGGCATTACATATCTGAGACACAAATGTAAAATGCTACACTCTGAGTGACAAGGAAGCACACTTGAGTACAGGCATTCCAATGCATGCATATCCTATTTAAAACTCCCCAATACACATAAACTTTCATTACAACACAATTATAAAGCTACAAAACCACCCTAAACAGAAATGTCTTGGAAAATTAGTTCTCAAAAAAAATATCATTTTTCCCAAGTAACTACTTTTCCCAGAGAAGACACCTGGGCCCTCTAACGCTCCTGTTCCCCTAAATGGCTTGCTATCTGAAGCCTAAAACACTGCAAAGCCATACCTTTTGCAAATGAAGCAGCAGCATTAAGCCAGTAGGTTAAGAAAATTTGCATTAGAGGTAGCATGGGAAAGTTGCCTGTAGTTTGCATTTTAACAGTAAGAGATAAACTTACTCATAGGATTCATAGGGCGCAGACCCTGCGGTGACTGTCCCTGCTGTTGATTCTTCACTTGAGCTTGGGGCTGTGTCTGCATCTGGTTCCCCTGATAGGTCAGTCCAAGGGCTGCGTAGGCTCTCTCGATGGAGCTGGGGTCTATCTGACTGGTAGTGTTTATGCTGGGCGTTGTCTGCTGCCCCACGCCCACGGAGCCTGTATTTGCAAGTCCTACTGCAGCTCCGCCCAGCAGCGCTGGAAGAGACACACCAAGTTAGCAAGGATGGCAGAAGGTAGCCAAAGAAGTGCAGAAATACTGGGAAAGACAGAGTGCACTGGCTGTTCAGAAGTAAAACATCTCCTCCTAGAAGCATGCAGAGAACAGGCCACATCTAGAAAACCTGTCATGAAACTGGCAGACAAGTTTTGAGCCAACCAGCCAATCCAATAACATGCTGTCTTCCCTTTTTGCTGCTCAGAGGAAATCCCACTCTTAAATATTTAGGACACATCTGTTTGCTTCAAACTGAAACCAGAGGCACACCATGTCACAGAGGCTAAAAGCAGAAGGGTACACACAGCTCTTCAGTAGCCATTGCAATGCCTTTTTTCTTTTTTAAAAACTTTTCTTAAGCCAAGAAATATCTCAGCTCACATGACAAGAGCCCACAGTAGCATTAAAGAAAGGAGAAAAAGAAAACCATGCAGGTAACATGATGACAAAAATCTTGCGAAACATTTTGGCAGGGAGACCAAGGGGATACAAACAGAAGGGGAAGTGACATCTGATGCAAACAAAGAACGAAGACCAAACCAAACATCAGACATGACACAACTCTGTGTGTGTTTGCACATCTATCTCCAGTAAAGGGCCAGCTGGAAGAGGCAGTAGTGAAAAGCCAATCACTTGACTGAGAGAGCTATGACTTGTTCACCGTTACCACTCTCCTGCTGGAAAAATCCAATAAATATAGCTAGTGTTTATGAAAGCTTTCTATCAGACACAAAAATACTCTGGGACTAAAGCAAGAGGAAAATCATGTTACACATTCCTGGGCTTGAGAACGCAACCACCATCACCTGAATGCAAGAAAGTTTAACTACCAACACACATTTTATGGTTCATTCAATGCACAGAATTCTCCAGTAGACTTACATTGTTGATTTCTTTTGTCCCCAGCATTTTTGAGAGGCAAACATACAGGACAGTCATGTCTCGTACAGTTCTTCCAGTGCGAGATGATTTGTCGGGAAGACGCGCAATGTGCCACTGAGAAAGAGGGAATGAAAAGCTTTGTTTGTGGTCAACACAAACTGGAGAAGCAGCAATATTTTCTCTCAGGGCACAGATCCACATCAACACAGGTCAATAAAGTATTAATTGAAATAGTTCAGCACTAACTAGCCTTGAAAACGTAGCTAGATTTCCTCAAGTACTACTGGCTCAACTAAAGCTTACGTGAAAGTCCCATGTGATACACCCAAGCCTGTGTCTCCCTGGCTTGAAGGATAACACCATGTAGCTCAGGCATCACGCAGACTGTACCAAGCAACTGAGGTGTCAACAACTGGCGCAATCCAGACTAGTCTAGGCTACCAAAAAGGTACCATACATGTTGCTTAGCTACTAGGACAGAGGTGCCAGTACTAGTAGGAGCCTAATTTGTGGCTAGTTATTGTTCGAGATTCATCTCTTCAGATTAAGGGAGACAGGTAGACTCCTACTTGTAGATGCTTGCTTTGTGTCTGCCTTTGAAAGAAGGCAACACCTAAAAAGATCTTACAGCAAGTTACAATGGTAAGGAAAAGATTTTCACTCATCTCTTTGTGCTATCTAGTCCCCTCTAACTTAGCAAAACTTTAGAGGCTCAGTAGTTGCTTATGAGTCTCATTCTTAAGGGGACAGATAAGTTACAAAGAAATTGTACATTTCAAGCCACCCACTAGCTCACATCTTTCTAGGAGCCCTTCTCCTGCTTCAAACGTTAACCACATCTACATAAGCCCTCCTCCACTTACCCTGGCAGGATTTGCCAGCCTGACAGTGTGTCATGTGGTTCAAGACATTCTTCATGGTTCGGCAATGAGGGAGGTTGCACTGTCGCACCTCGCCGTTGGCCTGTTCTCGACGCTGACACTTGTGAGCGTGTAAGAGGAGAACTAGTTGCTGCTGAATGAGTTTGCGTTTTTCTGGATCTGCTGTCGGTGCTCCAGACCCCATTCCTTGGGAAGCCGCTGGCCCCATGCCAGCTTGCTGAACCTGGGGAGCCTGCTGCTGGCCCTGGAGAAGGTGGAAAAGAAATTGCTGGAAACAAATCCATTTTTGAAAATAATTCATACGGCAAGCAAACAGCAGCAAAAGAAAGTCAAAGAAGAGAATCAACTGGAAAATATTAGTAGCACTTAGTTCTCAAGTCTCCTCCTCATTTTGGAGGCTAAGAAGTTGCATCCACAATTCTTGCATTAATAGAAGAAAGCACATTTTAGAGTGAATAGAGTTTTCCCTCTATTTCAGTATAAGGCATCTCAATTTGACTGTTCCAAGAAAAGAAGAACATAAGGGAAATTATGGGAACCATTTAACCTTTTTCCATCTGCAAACTTGCACACAGACATTCAAAACAAGCATCTGACTCTGCTAGAGAGGAAGCACAACTTCAGGATAATACATGCCACAGAACTAATGTCAGGTATGGCAACATCTAGTGCATCTTCTCTGCTTCTGTTTATTTCTTCAGAACTCTTTGTATTTCTTGCAGGTGACACTTGTGGAGTACTCAGCAAAGAAGAGAGGCTTGGGGACTTTATGTTGCTTGTATCACTTCAGTTCAACAGACTTTAGTTTCTAACAGACTCTTCCCAGAGGGTTTTAGAGGATGTTTCTGGAGATCTCCGTATCTTTAGACTTCAGCTACCCCTATTCCTAAACCCCAGTTCTCTGGTAGCTCTTCAATACCTTTCATTTTACACAGAGGTTTCACCAATTAGTCAGGCCCTCGGGGTTTGTATGTGTTCCAATATGACCATAACTGCCATGTTTGCAGCCTGTAGTTCTAAACAAGTAAGACAGCAGCAGCTCTTCATTCCTAGGTTCAGTTGGGTGGCAGATCAAATTCAAAAGGGTTGCACGCTCTGCACTGAGCACAAACCTGACAGCTGGGGTTCTGAACAAGTTTTGGCTGTTTTTTCACTGGTTCATACAACCAACTGGTTTGCTAGACTTCCATTTCATGCTCAACTGAAAACATCCTAAATAAAACTCACAGGATTGAGCACTTCTGATTTAAAGGTACTAAAGTTAACTGGAAATGGTTTTGCAGCAACAGTTAGTAAGATCAAGCAACTGACCCTCCCCAGGGGGTGTGTGGGAGTGGAATTTGAAGCAGGCAGAAACACAAGCTATATTCAGAAACGAGAATTTGTTTCTTGAATTAAAAGAAATATATACATTTGGGGAAGTTGGAGGGGAGGGAAGCAGGACACGTTACATGTCATATCCCTAACCATTTTAAGCTTTGAAAATAATGAAGCATCAGTGTTAAGCTCAAGCCAGGGAATCTGATGTTAAGGCATGTGGTGAGACACCGGCATTTATAAGCTTCGGCCATCCACTTTTCCCACCACTCTTACTTCCCCTTTCCTTAAGTCCTGCTGCAGTAACAGTGTGGAGGGAGAAGAGGAAAGCATCAGGGCTACTATCATTGCCAGGGAATCTCTGGCATCAGGACTGTTGTGCGTGTTCATGAAGAAACACATGACTGGAGCTTCTAAAACCCTATCATAGGTAATACCTGTGTGAGAAGGAACACTTCTCTCTCCCAAAAGCATCAGTGAGTACAAGCAGGAACACAGTTCTCCAGACAGAGCTACTCTGAGAAGGGGCCCAATCCAGCAACCATAAAAGAAGGGGTGGTAGAGGAGAAGTGTCCAAACAGGTGGTAAAGCTCACTTCATTTAAGGAGCTCCATTTCATTTTCCCTGTCAACAGGGTTCAAAGGGCAAAGAGGGGAGGATGCAGTTTTATCAACACAAAAAGCACAACTCAGCCCTCTCCTTCATATCAGCCTTCTTAGAAGCTGAAGCAAGTGCATTATGTACAGATTCAGAGTACATATTCACACTGGGCATAACAGCTGCAAAAAAAATGCAAAAACCATGGCAAGACCAGAATATTTTGCTCCTTTTATATCCACTACAACATTTTCTGAAGACGCCTTTCATACTACTTACCATGTTAGG